CTCTCTCTCTCTCTCTCTCTCTCTCTCTCACTCACTCTCCCTCTCTCTCTCTTTCTCTGGCAAACACATGCATCCTATGGCAAAAACCTTAAAAATATATATATATGAAAATATCTGTATGATTACAAAATTAAAACTAGTTTTAGGAGGAAAAAATGTTCATTCAGAGAGGTACTTCTCTAACTGTAACCATTTTTATTAGTTGCAGGCATATCAATTCATTCTTTCCCTTCAAAATGGTCTATGAATAGCTTACATACAGTAAGTAGTGTTTTTGCCACTGTCTCTTTTGGATAAATTCTTAGAAGTGTTACTGTTAAGCCAAAGTTTAACTGATATCATTTTGCCTTGTCTTCAAGTTATATCTCTAAATACAATGAGTACAAGGAAAGCAAAGCACAGAATATTGTTACAGAATATTGTTACATGTTGTTTCTATGAAAAAGAAGGATAAAAGGTGCTTGTCTGTTTTGTTTGTAGATGTTCAAACATCTCTGCATTTATACACACAGAAAACAATCAGAGAACAAGGCCTACAAGAAGGGAAAAGCAATGTCTGGGACCCAGAAGTGAATACCTCACTGAATTCCCTTTTCATTTTGTTATGTTAAACATTTTGAAACCTGTTAATATAGTGCCTATCTTAAAACTAAATTTTAAAACTGAAATAAACCTTGGGGGCAGCAGGTAGTGTAGTGGTTAAGGCGTTGGATTCCTACATGGTCAACCACGGTTAGAGTTCCTGACCCAGCAGCTTAAAACTCAAACTGGATGTGTGTGAGGGGAGAATGGAAATGGCAGCATGGCTATCCTCCCTGAAGAGAGTGGTTTCTCACTTTGTCTCTGTCTTTCACTGTGTCTCTGGTGAGCACACAGGCCCTGTAGGAAAAAAAATCTCTTAAAGAGAGAACCAGCAGTTAGCATAATGGCTATGTCACTGGACTCCCACGTAGTCGACCGCGGTTCACATCCCGGACCTGGTGGCTTAAAACTCACGCACAGGCACATGTGCGTGCGTGCCCAAGATCCCAAGAGGAGAATGGAGGAGAAGGGATTGCGGCGTGACCATCCCCCCTGGGGGGTGATTTCTCGCTTTCTGAAGCTTTATTTGCCAAAACAGAGATCATCTGGTCCCTGTTGCAATAAGAAACTTGAGCCTCTTAATTTGCATTGCCCGGGACCTGCAGCTGGCGTGATGGCTGTGTTGCTGGACTCCCGTGTAGTCAACTGCAGTTCAAGCCCCAGACCCAGTGGCTTAAACTCACACTGGGTGCATGTGCATATTTGCCCAAGATCCCGAGAGGAGAATGGAGAAGGGATCATGGTATGGCCATCCCCCCTGGGGGGTAATTTCGCACTTTCTCTCTGTCTCGCTCTGTCTTTCTGGCAAGCACATGCACCCTATAGCAAAAACCTCTCCAAAAAAAAAAAAGAAAGAAAGAAAGAAAAGTTAACGAAAGAAAGTTTCTCTGTTTTAAACTGTTGAAACAGAAAACACTCAGAATTGATGTTGCACAGGGAAGAGGGAATCTCATTGCAGGCTTTAGGCAGCTCTGCTCAGAATTCTATAGAATTTTGTCTTTACTGCAAGATGGTCTTCTGGAATCAGGCTTTTTGGGGGAAATTGACACATTCAGCATTGCTGCTGCTTTGTTCTGTGTTCCTGAGTGAGTTCTAATGTTAGGATTATGTGTGCAGAATCTTTATTTTCTTTCAAAATTTTAAACTTGGTTTGATTTAAATAGTAGTGTGTGTATATTGCAGATCGTCATCTCAGCCTCGAAGCACGGGGTTAAGTGCCTTACTTTATGGAGTGCATCAGCGCCAAGCATGAGCTCACTGTCTGGGGAAGTGAGCTGTGGAGAAAATGACCAGCCCTGGCTGCCAGCGCCTTTGGTCGGAAGAAAGCAGGCCTGTCTGATTTGGTAGTGTCTGTGGCTGGTGGAAAGCTGCCTACCTGGACCTTGGCTCTCTGTTTTTGGCTGTAAGACAATGCTCTAAGCAACCCTTAACCAAAGTTTTCCAGTTGCTAAAACCCAGTTCCCTTCCTGGCTAAATGGCTTAGGACAAGTTATCTCATCAGCTGCTGCTGCCCATCACCCTGCCCTCCTGCGATGGCATCTGGACCAGCCAGGGGAGCTGTGAAAATGAGTCCCGCTGAGCAGAGTGATTCCTGGAACTAGGAGGCGGCTTCCAGGAGAAAGATAATGTATGTGGGCTCACGTTCAAGGGTTCAAGCAGCTCTTTCCATAGACACAGAGGCAGCTGTTGGATACAGAAAGCCACAGAGGCAGATAGTCGGGAGAAAGCATCGTTATTTTCCAGAAAGAAAAATTCTTTTTATTCTTTATTTTGAAGAATCATAGTTGGCCTTCAATCCCATAAATGTGAATTCCTGTAAGCTTAAATGTGTCTATACTGGGGCTAGACTTACTTCCTGCAAGGCCAACCAGATGGATCTAAAACAAATCTTAAGTATTGTCCGTGGCCCAATGGAGGAGGAAGATGGGACATAGCAGAGGGTGGGGGATGGGGAATCAGGGATGGCAAGACAAAGGGCAAGGTATGCAGGATGTAAGAATTGGAAAATTATTTGCTGAGAACATGTATGTTGATGTGCTTGATTGAACCAATGCACAGTGTATTTTGGATGGAAAATTCATTTGTGTGTCGTGATGGTGTAGAGTGAATTAAAAAAAAAAAAAAAAGTATTGTCCGTGGCCCAGAGGTAGGAGGAAAATTCTCTAAAAAGACACTTGAGGACTTTAGGCAAAGTCATTTGAATTTAATTCTTACTAACACTAGAGGACCAGCACACATCGATCAGAGTTGTAGTGGTTGCCTGTTAGGCGTGTGTACAAGTAGGGGGTCTGGAACAGGGAGTCTCAAGAGAACTCTCTGAAGGATAGAAACACGCTGTTTTGCCTAGAGTGTTGATTCCATGGTATAAACATTTTTCAAAACTTACTAAGACTGAGGCCAGTTGGTGGTGCAGTGGTAACACAGTGTTCGGTGAGACTGACCCACATGGAGGGTTCCGGGTTCACATCCAGAGACTCCCCCAAACATGCTAGGCACACACATGCCAATGACCCAAGGCTGGCTGGGACTGGGGGTAGATCACAGCATTAAGACCTTGTTGGGGGCTGGCTGGCTGCCTCTCTCTTCAAAAATAGGAGGAGGGAACCAGCAGTTAGCGTAATGGCTATGTCGCTGGACTCCCACGTAGTCGACCGCGGTTCACGTCCTGGACCCGGTGGCTTAAAACTCATGCCGGGCGCGTGTGCGTGCGTGCCCAAGATCCCGAGAGGAGAATGGAGGAGAAGGGATTGCGGCGTGGCCATCCCCCCTGGGGGGTGATTTCTCGCTTTCTGTCTCTATGTCTCTCTCTGTCTGTCTGGCGAGCGCATGCGCCCTACAGTGAAAATCTCTCCAAAAAAAAAAAAAAAAATAGGAGGAAAGAGAAAGGAAATGGGAAAGAGAAGGAGAAGGGGCTTTTTATTTTTTATTTTATTTCTTTTTAGAGATTTTTGTTATAGGGCATGTGCACTGGCCAAAGAAACAGAGAGAGAGAGAAATCATACCCCAAGGAGGATGGCCACACCACAATCCCTTCTGTATTCTCGTCTCAGGATTTTGGGCATGCACTCACATGCACCAGCATGAATTTGAAGCTGCCAGGTTCAGGATTCGAACCGTGGTCCCAAGAAGGGATTTTTAATATTTTTATTAAGGTGTGTGTGTGTGTGTACATATGTACATATATATGTACACACACACAATGAAAGACTTGGGCCAGCAGGTGGTGTGGTGGTTAAGGACGGGGGACTCCCACGTGGCTGACCATGGTTCAAGTCCCAGACCTGGTGGCCTTTTCTCTCTCTGGTCAAATTTAAAGAAAGAAGAAAGAAAGGAAGGAAGGAAGGAAGTTAAATAAAATAATTCTTTGAAAATAAATGAAAGACTTAGATAATGTAAAAAGAAATTTTCTCCAGGAAAACTGTGCCCATCTATGGGAGATGCATATGTCCTCAGTCTTTTTTGTTGGAGAGGTTTTTGTCATAGGGCACATGTTCTCTCCTGAAAGACAGAAAGAGGCAGAGAGAGAGAAAGCGAGAAATCACCCCCCACCCCCAGGGGAAATGGTCACGCCGCAGTCCCTTCTCCTCCATTCTCTCAGGATCTTGGGCACGCACGCACATGCGCCCGGTGTGAGTTTAAGCCACCGGGTCTGGGACTCAAACTGCAGTCAACTACAGGGGAGTCCAGCAACATAGCCATTACGCCAACTTCTGATCCCACTCATGTTGATGACAAAGTGGGAGGGAGAAGGAAATAACTATATCTCAACCTAGTACACTGGACTCTGAATGTGGTTGTGGATTTTTTGCCCCTCATCCAGCAGGATTAGGAATCAGCTTTTACAGCTAAGCCTGTTTGGTCCTGGTTTTTAATATCCAAATGCAGGAATATGTCTCTGGAGGGAGTGCAGGCAGAGGCAGAAAGTCACTCCAGGTGGGGACGCAGGCTGCCAAACGCTGATCTCAAGTACACGTTTCCTGAACTTGGGCTCAGCTCCCCAAGAGGAAGCGCTCACAGTGGAAACAGTGATGGCTGCTCACTGCAGCCAAGAGGATGAAAGAACTCTGAGACCTAAGTTCTCCACAGGAGAGGTGCAGGGGCCCCGCAGTGGGGAACCCAACCTGACCACACAGCGGGATCAGAGTCCATGCCCAGCATCTTTCTGCAGTTCAACAACAAGACCTTTATATGTGACATCTCAGGACCTTTCTAGAAGGCAATACTGTGGGCAAGCCAGCTTCGCCCGACAATAGATGCACACTCACCAAGTGATAGTTCTCCCTGTTTGCTTGGAACTCGGTTATGTTAATTTAGAGAAAGAACTCTTGAAGTGAGCAGAGGGACCCTGTCTTTGCCCAAATATCTGTATGTATCCCTCCTGCTCGGTTTAAACTGTTGCCGCCTGCCTCTTGTAGACTATTTTGACCTCCAGTGGATGCTTTTTCAGCTAGTATGTTTGTTCCTCGGCTTATCACTGTGTCATTTGTCACTGTGAGTGTCCCTGGGTCCTAGCATGTCAGTAGCTGCTAGGCTGAAACACAAGCTGGCAGAGGGAGAAGAGGCCCTGGGGTGACAGGGTGGTAATGAAGTCTGAACCGGCTCCAGTGACAGTGCTCAGCACCTGTGTTAAAGCAGGCACATGGTACCGCCCAGCTCCGTGCCTCACTCATGGAAGGTGAGCTCTCATGGCCTAAATGTTCTGTCCCCACTGGAATGCCTGTGTTAAAGTCCTAACTCCCAGGGACCAGCAGTTAGCATAATGGCTATGTCGCTGGACTCCCATGTAGTCGACCGTGGTTCGTGTCCCGGACCTGGTGGCTTAAAACTCACGCCAGGCACGTGTGCGTGCGTGCCCAAGATCCCAAGAGGAGAATGGAGGAGAAGGGATTGCGGCGTGGCCGTCTCCCCTGGGGGGTTGATTTCTCGCTTTCTGTCTCTCTGTTTCTGTCTGTCTGGCGAGCGCATGCTCCCTATAGCAAAAACCTCTCCAAAAAAAAAAAAGTCCTAACTCCCAGTGTGATTGTTTTCGGAGTTGGAGTCTTTGGGAGATGATCAGGTCATAATTAGTGCCCTTATTAAAAAAGGACCCAGAAAGGGCAAGCCTGTGGCATAGTGGTTAGGGGCGCTAGATCTCAC